GAAAGACCGCCTGCAGATTTGATCAATAAATTTTAATTCTAATCTGCTTTAGAGACCTCCGAATTAAAATTCAGTCAATGTCGAAATTAAAAGCAGACCTTCTTGCTACCTTCAGAAGGGGAATTTGTGTTGTGTTTGTGCAAGCCATCAACGATGCACCTAGTATCGCCAGCGACCCCAGGAAAATAGGCGATGAGCACATGTGATCAAGGCCAAGGGTAAATTCAGAAAAATTCTGAAAGTAAAATTCTGGAACCTCGCCTTTGTCAATGATAGTTCCTGCAAGCGAAAAAATGGAAAAAAAAAGAAAGAAATCCAGTTATCAGAAAATCTTCAAACAGAGAGAGGCACACATAATAGCTAATTTATAAAAATAAAAAATAAAAAATAAAATAAAAAAGAGAAAAGCATTGAAATACAAAGTCACGGATTCGAGCCGTGGAAACAGCCTTGCAGAAATACAGGGTAAGGCTGCGTACGATAGACCATTGTGGTCCGGCCCTTCCCCAGACCCCACGCATAGCGGGAGCTTAGTGCATCGGGCTGCCCTTTTTTTAGAAGCATTGAAATACTTGAGGGTTAACTATAAAAAAGAAAGTATAAATAGATGATTTCCGTCAGTTTAAGCAGACAGGAAATCAAATAATCAAGGTGAATTTTGGTAAGAAGATTAAATGAACAACAATGTTCACTACAGAGGCAACATCTAATATACTCAAGCCCTGCCACCATTGAAACAACGCAGGCTCTATTTCCGTTCTCTTCACTGATATCACAGGGGAAAATAATATGACAACTCCAACACAACCACATAATTATGCCTATTGCGCATGTTCTGCAGTCTAGGAATGTAATTAGAACTAAAAATAGCCAAATAATGAAGGACTAAAAAAGGATATCAAAGGTCAACTAATAGCTAAAAAATTCAAATGTGCCTACCAGGCATGTTATGCAGCCTAGAACTGCAGTTAAAATTGCTGCTGTCAAATAAATTATGGAAAGGAAAAGCCAAAGACAATAGCAAGACAAAAAATTAGTAAAAGCAACGGGCTAAAGTAAAGGAAGGAGAAACTTGTAGCAACGATAAAGTTATCTATGAGTAACTTACAGGGCACGAGTTCGAGCCGTGGAAGCAACCAATGCTTGCATTAGCTTTGTAGTTAAATCATAAATACATGCACTGAAAATATTACCTAAGGCCATTAAGCCAGCAGCAGCAAACATCTCACCAATTACCAAAGGCAAATTAGAGAGAACTCCCAATACCCTTTTGGGCACTTTCTTAAACACCACTTTACCATCCGCATTATTATTCCTAGTGGTTCCTTCCGCCGCCTTCTTCCGCTCAAAAAGCGGCGGCGCTCCGCCGGAGTCCGGCAAAGAAATATTGCCAGGAACAATCTTTTTCTTCCCTTTTGAATTCTTGAGCTTACAAGTAAGAGGAAATGAAAAAGTGCGGTCTTTTTTGTTATAAACACCAAGAATTCTTGAATTTTGAGGAACCCAGAAATGATTTTGAAAATGGGGTGTTCTTAAAGGTTTAGTTGAAAATTTTAGCATTTCCATCGATGTGGGACTCTAAAATAAACTAAGAATATAAACAGAGAGATGAGAGGTTAATTAATTTCGTTTAGTTCAGGTATTTAGCTATATGGAGTTATAACGATCGTTTTGTTAGTTTTTCTAAACTTAAGGGGTGAGGCAGTGTACTACAACTATTTATACTTGTGTACTTAGTACTTCCGACATATTGCGTAGTACTTACTACAACAAATTTATACAGATTATAATACTTGAGCAAAATTTTAAGCAAACATAATATGGATTAGAGTAAATTGCATGTACAATCTTCCTCTTCACTTCTTTAAACTCAACAATACTACTACGTCTATCTCATATTTGAGGTCATGAAGTTTTTATTCGTAATACATATTTTATAATAATTTTTAATAGTTTTCATCCTTAAAACTTGGGAGTTATAGTATCGTTTATATAGTTTTTAAATATGTAAAATAATTCTTCAAACGTTGAACAATCGATATTTTTGTTCACACAAAAAATTAAATATTTGGATACTCAATACTCAAAATAAGTATCATTCTTTTTAGGATAGATGACTTAGTTTTTGACCATCTCCGTAATCTAAAAAAAGAAATTAAATATCATTCTAGCTTTTGAACAAATTTGGCATTTAGCTGATGCTACTATTAAGTAGTAATAAGTAGTATTTTAAACTGATAATTGGTAGCATGACTAGAGTTCTTAGCAAGATGAAGAGTTATGTTTCGAAATTCCGATTAATGTTGAGGTCTTCCGAAACAACTTCTCTATCTTAATAGGGTAGGAGTAAGGTCTGCATACACATTAATCTTCTCATACCCCACTTGTAGAATTATACTAGTGATGATGTTGTTGTTATTGTATCATACATCGGGTTGCCTACATCACCCTTGAAATGCAGTTCTTCCTCGATCCGCACGAATATAAAATATTTTATGTACCCAACTTCCCTTTTAATTCAATTAATGCAAATATGACATATTGATAACTTACCCAAAGCAAAAAAAAAAAAAAAAAAAAAAAAGGGCNGTCGTATCATTAGGTGTGAGTAGTACACGTACTTTTGAGCACCCTCAATTTTCAGTTTTCATCAAATAGGCATTGCTTGATTTCTAGATCTCACTCGTGCTTTCACAAGCATGCCAATTGCGTATAATACTAATTATAGTATGAATTATATTTCAATCCTGGATTAGTTTAAATTAACTGTAACATGTATATATTCCACTGCATTCGAATAATACTAGAAAGACAATGGTATAATAACTAAATGTTCTCTAATTAAATTACGCATTTATATTAAAGTTTCTGTTCACACTATATATTTATTTATTTTTACTCTTGGAGTTGGAGAACAGAACAGGCGTTAGTGCAACAATAAGCTTTAACATAGTTAATATTGGCCGTCCTTTGCTTCCATCTTGTTTTTTCTTAGCTAAGTTAACTACATACATATATGACAAGTTAGTCCTAGACATAAAAACTTAACACAAATTAAATAACTCGTCCTTTCAACCAATTCTTTTTTTCTTTCTTTTTCAATAAAGCAAACCAAAAAGAAAAAGAAAAAAGGAACTATAATACCCCAATTATACTTCTTGTTTGTCCTTGCTGGACAATATTAAAGGTATGGATGATATCCCTCCACCCTTAATTAAATGTCTTTGATTCGTGCCCTAAGAATGGAAAAATCTTTGATTGGGACCACTCCCCCTTTAATGGATCCTGCACGAGTAAATCCTAATTAGTCGGGTCAATGTACACCGGTGTATCAGGTGAGATCCCTTCATCCTTAATTAAATGTTTTTAGTTCGTACTTGATAATGGAAAAGCCATTGATAGGGGACTACTCCTCCTTTAATATAGATCTTGCACGGAGCAAATCTTAATTAGTCGGGTCAATATACACCGATGTATCAATAGTTATTGAAAAATACTTGTTGTTTGTCGTCCAATCCTATACAATGTAATGTATTATACTGTTGTACAAGAATGGCGCAAGGCATTGACAACCATATATGCATGACGTGCTTTCGTAAGCCAACAACTTGCATTATACTACACACTATCTCCTATGACATGTGCTTTCGACTTCGTAAGACTTCATTGGACTACACACTTAACTAATTTCTACACTCCTTTCATCTAAAGTTTCATTTCTTGCGGAATCTAAACATTTTCAACCACTTTCCCTACTTCCCAATAAGGGGGAAACTTCATATTTTAGTTTACATTTGCCCCCATCTTAACTACTTACTTTAGGACCAAAAAAAACAACACGCGTCTGCTTCAAACATCAATTGTTGCATTGCTTGCTTTAATGCTGAAATTTCAGTTTCCCCTATTATGCAAAGTGTAGAAAAATGGAGATTCTAACCTTAGAAAGTGAACCATGAAAACAGCAAGAATAAGGACCTCCTTTAACTTTACGTACAAGGAATATATCCCATACACTCCAACAATTCTCAAGTATTGCTTTGCGTGTGGGGTATATCCTAATTATCTTTCATTTAGTATTCGTAAGTAATAATAATTATTAAAAAAAAATTATCATCTCTTAGATAAGAAAGTTGCTTCGACACAAATCATTCCTCTTATTAAACAAGAGATTATAAGGGAGTAGTACCAAGAATAAACAATTAATCAAAACCAGAAGGCTTAGTAGTGGCAAAATGGATTAAAAAAAAAAGTTATCCATCCATATTATTCTTTAAAAAATAGGCTGGATAATAAACATTTTAAAAATGGGTCAAATATGGATAAGATCCATATTATCCTCTTAAAAAATGAATAACCAATGGGTTTAACTTTCATATTTACAAAAACTCAAATTGGGGGTTCCTCAACTTTGGGAGATTAGAAACTCTCTCCAAAGTGATCATATTCAAGAAGCCATGGATAATATGAATATCTATATTATCCGCCGGTTAACCCAATTTCTATATGTACTAAATATGGGTTGCGTCGGATGCATTACCAGTATTCAACCCGCCCATATCCAACCCGACCCATCCGCTTGTCACGCCTTAGCATTTACTGGGGCATTTACACAAATGGCCCTTATCAGATCACTATTTAATTATGTCCCTTGCTAATCCAGTGCGTTAATTTTGTCTACACAAACACAAAAACAAAAAAGATATTCATCTAGCTGTTTTAACGGCAAAACTAGCCAACATTTGGCCGACCGGGACAGAATCCAAAGAGCAGCCTTAAAATGGCCAGACGATGCAAACGATCTGCATTTGGGATCTTTACACAAATAGCCAGCCATATTCATTGTTTACTTTTCTAGCCATATACATAGATTATACATTCATTATACATAATTGTACACATATAATATATATAAATTATGCATATATCATACCTCCACCAGCTATTTTTAGGTTAAGATGTTGGGTGGGTGGGTATTTGGATTAATTCTTCACAGACGGACAGAAGAGAAACTACCATGGATATGAATCAAGAATTCACTCAAATATCAGTCCCAAACATCACCCTCTTGTTAAATAGTTACAGAACAATTTGAAGAAGAAGAAGCTCCACCAGCTTTTTATTAAGAGAAAAACTTGGTGCAGATTCTGGTGCTAAGTACATACCTAATTCTAACTAATAAAAATGTGCTGGAGAGTTGCACCTGGTTTACTACACATATGTAGGTCTAGCACACTAGGATACATACACTTGTATGATTAACGATTACACATCGTTAATCTATAACACTTCAGGCCTTATGAAATTAGGGAAATGATTAAGAGGAAACCGATGATCAAGAAAAGCATCTTCATAAAGAATTTTGTTCCGTCTAGGTGGTTAGAGTAATGGAAACCATGAGCATAACCCCCGTGAAATGAACCGGAAAAGAGGTAAGGGACTCCTGTAGTCGCCCCATAAACAGTGGCATCATGAAATCCATGTACATGAAGGTTAAAAAAAGCTGGAATAGCTCCAAAAAGATCAGATAACATCGAGTTTCCAAACCTTGCACTTGGCATGGGCATGGGCATGGGCATGGGCATGAACCCCCCTATGGGATCCAATTCATCATGTCGGAGATAGTCCATATCTACAGATGGAGCGGTTTGAGGTCTCTGTCCCATTGGACGCTTAGGTATATTGATCCCAGGTACTAACCGAGATCTTGGGTCAGAACTTGATTTGCCTCGTCCATATATCGGAACCAACTTGTGCTCTTCTACGAGAGCCTTACATACTGGGCACTCGTGGGAATGTGAATGAACTTGCAACCATTCGTAAAGACATGGCCAACAATAAAGGTGGCCACAAAGAGTGACTATAGGATCTTGAGCTAACTCAAAGCAGATATTGCATTCAAAATCACCAGGGTCAGAATTCATATCTGCTGAACGCAAAGCATCCATTGATTCACCTGTCCAGAATTGAAAACCTGCAAGCAAATGATAACAGGAGGCCCGACTTCTATTAATGTAGTGACATCATGGAATGGAATAACAAGAAAGAAAGAGTATACAATGGGATCAGAAAATGTGAACCAAACATAGAGCAAATAAAGATAACAATTTTTGTGTCCATTTACACAGGGAACCATGAAAAATAACTTAAATGGCCTTCTGGAGAAAAAGAGAAATGAAAATCAAATAATAATAGTACGTAATGCTACTCGCCAAAGGCCTAAATGTTTTTTATCAGAAGTTATTAGATGATTCAGCTTGGGGTATTGAAGAAGCTAATATGGACAAATTTCCATACTGTATTATTACTTTCCAAGACCTGAACATCAAATAATGTAAATAACTTATTACCCTCAGCTTCATCAATCTTCCTCCTGAACTTTCACGTTTCATAGACTAGGAACCGAGTTGGAAGGAAATGAAAATGTTTCTTGCATAAATTTAAGTAAAAACCAACTTCCAAGGACACTCGTTCCTGCATATAAGTGAAGGTGTTTTCTTGACATTAGTTTGTTAGGGAAAGGCACAGTGGTATTTTAGTTCAGTATAAGCTGGGGTAGTCTTTGGCACCATGGTAAGAGTTGTCGCCGTGTGAGGATGAGGTCACAAGTTCAAACCATGGAAATAACCTCTTGCGGAAATGAAAGATAAGATTGCGTATAATAGATCCAATATAGCCTCGCCCATCCACGAACCCGCCTAAGCTTAGTGCACCGGCCTGCCCTTTATAAGCTATTTTTGTCATGAAACATTGCTTATCAAAAAAAGACAGATTTTTTCCATGAACTGCAAACTCACATGGTTTCCCTTATCCTCTTGCAGAAATGAAAGGTAAGAATGCGTACAATAGATCCAATGTAGCCTAGCCCTTCTCCAAACCTGCCTAAGCTTAGTGCACCGGTTTGTCCTTTATAAGCTATTTTTGTCATGAAACATTGCTTATCCAAAAAAGAGAGATTTTTTTCCATGAAGTGCAAACTCACATGATTTTCCCTTATCTTAGGTGCAATGCCCTTTAAAGTACCAAATGATTCATAATCAACTTAGACCATAATGTTGACTACCTAATTTTGTTGAACTTAAGCACTCATTATCAACAAATGCATCTGATACTTATACCAATAGAAAGCAATGATATATCCATAGCAACCCAAAATATGATAAAATCAAATATTCACAAACGAAATCTACCCACAAGATAAAATTAGTCACCTTTATTTCAAGCAATATTCCAGAACAAGATCCTAGCACAGTGGAACTTAAACCCACCAAAATTTAATCCTAGGATCTCAATACAAACATATACCCACTTCATTTAATTCATTTTCCCTCAAATTATCTTATCAAAAATTATTTAAAGTTGCAAGTTTTTCAGAAGAAGAAGCAAAACAGATCCAATCACAGAAAATCACATAGCAAATTAAAAATATATAACAGAGTAAGCTAAAAAAAAAAAAAAAGGAGAGTACCCACCTGGAATTAGAAGACGAGGAATCTTGAAAGGAGCTGAGAAAGGTAAATGGATGACACCAAACGAAAAAAGGGGAAATCAAGAATGGGTTTGGTTAAAACTTTACACTTGTATACCCAAAAGGGTTTTTTTCTCTCTTAGTCACAGCTGTAGTGTCGGTAGGTACCTAATTATTTACAACTACTGGTCAGTCACTCAGTCTACTAGTATATGCATATTTGTCAATGTTAATTAGTATGTATGTTTAAACTAGCGTTTGATCATAAATTTTTAAATTTATTCTAAAAAATTTAGTTTTGGTGAAGTTTAATTTGAAAATGAAAGTGTATTTGGACATCTGTTTTGGATGAAATTTGATTTGAAAAAATATAAAATATGACTTATACCCACAAGTTCTAAAAACTATCACAAATACCTAACAATACCATTATTAATAATATTTATTATATTATCGCAAATTATAGTTCTGAACATAAATAAATTTGATACAAAATTATTATTTTTATAATATCGCATAACATATTATTAATAACATTTATTATATGACAAAACGATCCTAAGAAAAAAGTAGACTACCTCGCACCAACAGTCATCCAACGCGCTATTTTGGAAGTATGAAACAGTCAATTTTAAACTAGGGAGTTTAATTGGATTACTATGATTAATAATTTAATAAAGCAGCTCGCTCTGTTTAACTTGAAATTTCTATCCGGATGCTTCTCATCTAGAGACCAGAATAATTTCTTGAGGTAATTTTTGTTTTGGCTTAACTATTAAATATTTATTTTATAATAACAAACAATTGAATAATGTACACGTATAGCCACGTGGAAAACTGCCGTCAAGTCACTCTCACACTATAACTAACCCGACCAACAACCTTTCCTTTTCCTTTTTCTTTTTCTTTTTCTTTTTTTGAATATGGAACTTAGCCCGATAATTTGTTTTTCAATACTCATTAAAATTGTTGCTCAATTTATTAGTTAAATAAATATTGATTCTATCGAGAAAAAATTCAAAGATTGTTTGGTAGCCAGCGATTATCTATCATTTAAAGTGATATACCGTAATTAGTGGGAAGAACCTTGTTTTTTTCTTTGACCTTCTAAAGTCTGTACGAAGAAAGGTAACTATTTCATTGCTAATGTGTAATTAGATGGGGAAGTTAACTCGATTTACATGATAGCAATCTGTACAAATTTTGGAGTATATTAAAGTTTTTAAAAAATATGGTTTTAATAGAAAAAGGGAAAAAAATTGATTATTTGTTGATGCTAGCCGTTGAGATTTGAATAATTAGAATCATATGAAAATATCTTTAATTTTCTATTTTGTGAGAAAAATTAAGATCACTAGATGATAAGAATCTAAAAGAAACATTTACTTAACCTCAATTAAAACATAAGTCACACTTATATTTCATATTAAAAACATTAGAGAACATAGTACAAGTAGAATACTCTAATCGATATACTCAATCACATAACAAGACTTGATTGTTTTTCAAATGCGTATATTCCTTATAGAACATGTTTTTTTCTAAATTAAAATTGATAAAACCTTACCTAGTATAATATCTCATTAGAGATTAAGTATATAAATGATATTATCGACTGAGAAAAATTATTAGAATAACTCAATTATAAAAGAATATTAATAACTTTGCATCTCAAAAATTGAACAAACCAATAAACTTCAAGTCAAGTAAAATATATGAAAGTTTTTTTAATAAAAATTAAGGCATCTCATTAATATTTGGCTTTAGGCCACCAACAATATTGAGCCGCTCTCATGTATATAAAAGATAAAGGAACTCTCTCCTACAGCTACAAACATACTAGCTGCCGAAGAGACTATCTGCATCCTTCTTGTTGACCAAAGCTATAAACAACTACAGCATGATTCTCTTTCGTCCAACTTCACTATGGAAAAAATGTCATAAACCACAATCGAGGCTACGAAGTTGATTTGACGTGATTCGGACGTCCGATTGCAAATTTGAAAGTTCTTAAGTTTCTTTGAAAATTTCATGCATTTTGACGTCCGATTCATAGTTCTAGGCGTTACCTTAAGCTCAACTCTGCTTTGTTATGAGCTCAATGTCTGCTCCAACTTCAGCAATCTTTGTGTCTTTAGATGCCTTTGCTGCTTTTGCAATATTTGCAACGTCAAAGTCCATTGCAATTCTTTTTACGACACCCTCAAGCATCTATTAATGAAACAAAAACAAAAATTTACTAGGATTTCCAACTTACAACAACACTTAACTGAGAAAATAAGGAGCAGGATACCATTATAAAGGAAGAGACATCGCTAAAAAGATTCTCTGTGATGCAATAAAGCTATATAAGAAATGATGAAACTCCTAGAGTAAGATTGATGAGTCCAGTAGGGACTAACATGTTTATCAGTTCTGGGATTTGAGATTAGCAAGGCAGCACTGAGATTGGAATCATTTACAGGATCTACTTTCCATGTTTCGTGCAATCAATTTAACAGAGATGAGAGACGAAATCGACAAGAAAATGCCAACTTTAAAGTGAAATCATCATGGGCACAGCATAGCAACTGTCGCTGTTCATTATTTTGGAGTTACTGGTTCATGCCTGAACCCTTCAAAACTTTTTTTTAAGTAATGGAGTTCCAAACATGCAAGAACAAAATCTCAACAGCCAACAGTTCAGATATTATGAATTAAAAACCGAAGTAAAACAAACAAATTTTAGGTATAGGTTTGAGGCATACTTCCTACTTAAAATTCAAGAACAGAGCTATGAGAGTACCGAACATACCAGTGATCCTATGGCAACTAAAGCCCGAAATTTTGCATCGGCTTCAACACTTTCCTCTTCTGCAATCTTCAGGTAGAAAAGGTATTCCCACAAAAACACCATTAATACTTTGTTGCGCAGAAGTAGAAGTGAAAGACACAGGAAGGGGAAGGTAGAGACAATTGGGAAGGGAAGGTCATAGTTCCAGAGTCAAAGAAGTATCACTAAATGGTAAATACCTCAAGCGCAGCCGAAAGAACTTGAGACTGCCCCTCCTCATCCTTATTTTCAATCAATAGAACAGCATAGCTGTAAACTCAATCAATCACTGGGTGAGAATTATAACGTGAAAGAAAATAGTTGAAACTGGATAATATCAGAAATAAGGGCAGTGCAGAAATAGATTCATGTAACCATGCACAAAAATAATTTTTACTTTCATCATCGTCATCTGATTTACCTAGCAATAAAAGCGGTAAAATATTTTGCAAATAGGTTAACCAAAATGCAACGAGCAAATGTGTAACCACTTGTCTTAGCTTGATTAAGTTGAAACTAAGTGATCAGAAAAGAGATCGGGAACTATTGCAACTAATACATATTCACGATCATGGCCTGCATTTGTCTGTATTCATTTACTTCCACTAATACTCAGAATGTCATAAATACTTTAACTAGGCCATTAATTCATTCACCATGCCTCCTATTTCATTTTTTGTTCATTAAAAATAGAAGTTTTATCCTCCACCCTTTAGGAAGATAGCGTGTTCAGTTCCTACATACCTCTAATGGCATGGCTTTCTCTCTCTAATGATGAAAATGGCTCCACAAATGTTTTAAATTGGGATTTTCCCAAGAAGGCTTCTAATTGAAAATTCAAGTCGAAGAATTTAGTCAGGATTGACATGAAGGCCTAGATCATTAACTTGCTCGAAAAGGTAGTACACACATATTTCTATTTCGGAGACCTTTGGACAGCACTCAGTGCACTTCTTTTTTTAATATATGACGGTGGTATTCGCAACCTCGACAAATTCCACAGGGTACCTGCTACCTCCCACAAGCACAAGATTTGAACCAAAGACCTCATGCTCTCCCCGACTTCATTGACCACTAGGCCCACCCTTGGGTGCCCACTCAGTTCATTTCTACTAAATGGTTTTGTTTGCTTTGTCCCAATAGATATGTACCCGCTCCGGTTCATTTTATATGGCAGCGTTTGATTGGGTACGAAGTTGAAGAAAAAAGACTTTCGGCACATACCATAAGTACCTTTAGAACTTGTAGTCATAGACATGCTATGGAATTTCTATGGCTATAAGAGTATGTCATTAAGGGTAAAATGGGAAGTTTATGGTTAAAAAGTTTCCAAATATAGAAAGTTGTGATACTTTCCAAAACAAATTAAAAAGGAATGAGTTCCATATAGGATAGAACAAATATCGATCACATGTTAATTTTTTTGCTTTCTTAAACATATTGTAAGGATAAAGGTTATGTTGATAACAGAAAAACAGGAGATGAGGGTCTTATGTAAAAATAATTTGTTGAATATCATATGAAAATTTATCCTTCTACAAGTAGGAACATTATTCTTGAATGAACAAAAAATTAGGTTGTCAACTGTTTTAAAAGTAGGGAGTGAAACGTCAATCTTCTGGAAATCAATCAAGTCAACTGCACGTAGTCCGTTGGAGTTAAGGCAATTGAATACTTGGAACAGAAAAGGCTAAAATAAAGATGTTGAAAGTAGAGAGGCAAAGGGAGAGGCCAAAAGGGGCTTTTAGTTTTATACAAAGAATTTTCAATATCCCGATTCTATTTGAGAGAGATGTTGTCTGCCGAAGCTTCTACTTCAATGCATATGAAACTAAAAACATCACACAACATCAGCTAGTACATGAGTGAATTAGCCAGAAAAGAATAAAAAGCAAATCGATTAGATTATAATCAGTTCATCCCTCGAAGCCTAAACACGATACAAAATTTATGTGCATGTTCTACCGTTTAGAAGGATGAATTCACTGATTATACTCCATTTTTTCGCCGAAATTACTACCTAATTAAATCATCACACTTCTATGGGGTCTACCAGAAGAGGCGAAATGGCTTATGATATAGCTACAAGAGAGCAAACAAAAATAAAGAAGCAGTTCTGATGAGTTAAATGCACAAAAAAGTCAAAAGAACAAGATTTCCATTAGTTCAACTTAAAGGGCTAGACTTTGGATGCTTTAAGTGTAAAACTACACGACCACAATAAATATGAATTGATGCAACAGATAACGTGAATGTTATGAAGCAGACAGATTAACTATGCAATGGACAGTCATCCAGACAGATGTTTATCCAACTACTTACTTGAGTATCAATGTCGAATAAGCTAACTGCACATTCTTATTGGAAGATAAGTAACAAGTGGAAAAGGCATCCAGAACCTACAAGGACAGGAAAAGGAAAAACAACACAAATCACTGTTAATCTGTACAAGTCACACAAAGGCCCCTAAAAATGCATAAAAAACAAAAACAGTAATGGAAATGAACAAGTGTATGCACATCTTCAGAGAATGTTTATAGCACTAATATCCAATTTCACCAGAAGAAAATAAGGATGCTAACAAATAACAATCAAGTTTTCAAGTTGAGCAGCAGAGATCTATTCAGCATGGACGCATGAAATTCTGGAGGATCTACATCAAACAGGAAGCAACAAATTATTTTTCTTTTCGATTGGTAGGAAGCAATAAAAGACATCTAAGCAGGTATTCATCAATCCAATAACTCCAAGCATTAACCAACAACCACAACTCAAAAACACAAGGATCAAGGGGAAACATTCTCAAAAAAAAAAAAAAAAAAAAAAAAAACTACTGAGCAAATTTAACTTCTAAAAAGAGACCTCCTAGCAAGTATGGCCACCACAGCATTCAACATGGAACAATCACTAACCTCCCCACGATGCTTTAACAACCAATCATGATAGGATCCATTCTTGAAGAGGTTAGTCGAAGCCCGAACACTTGTCAGAAGATTTGCAGGGAATGGAGGACTGGTAGTGACCTTCTTGATCAACTCCATAAGTACATCTAGGTAGAATCAGAAAACAAGAGTCACTAGGTAGAATTAGAAAACAAGAGTCACTGTGAAACCCACATGGTAGAAAAATTGGTAATCATCGCCATTCTAGAAGATCTGGTAAATTCAAGATTCACCCCCACCCCCTTTTGCATGTTAGGCAAGCAGCGGACGATGGCATTCACCACCTAACTCACTCACAGCCACAGTAACTAGATTTTGAGTGCACTCATATTGTAAAGGGAGGGAAAAATTTCCAATTACAACTATGAAACAATTGCACAGAACCTTTTGTTGAAGTGGTTCATAACTACACTTCCACATAAAGAACAAGCAATGTAGTCATAAAGAGATTGCAAATTCAATACCATTGGGATTGTTGACATGCTTGAAAAGTACAGCAGCACCATCAGCGTGCAGCATAATCATCCTCAAAATATCAATTACTGCCAAGGAAGATGAACAAACATCAGAACAATAAGAGAATAAGACAAACTTTAAGAATAATCAAGTTGGATTTGCATAAGCACAGCCATGTCTATGTTCTTCTTTCATAGCAATAGGACTAGCATGGCATCAACCACTTTACAGGAACAACTCTAATATCCAATATATAGCTACCCAGGAAAATTATGCAATCTCTTTTGAGTTACTTCTTCTCAACAACTTCCATTTCTATGATCAAAGGTGGAAGAATTGAAACAGTTTGAATAAACACAAATTTTAGTAAATTAGGGAAACTTTAAGCACACAAGAAAAATCAAATAAAAGTAATCCAAATCCAAAAGGTCTTTGCTTATGAACTAAGCTAATCTATTCCACAGTTAGAGATGAAATCTGAGCATGTCCTGTTTAAAAAAGGATGGGGGGAGCAAACAATAAAAAAAAGAGATAGAGAGGCTGAAATATAAGGAAGAGAGAGTCAGGGCAAGCATACACTTTTTATTAGGTCATTTGACAACCACCTGAAATTGCTTAGCTTTGGCTCTACAACTCCTTTAATGGATATATTACCCTAAAACACACGAACCAACAATAAAACTAAAGTTTTTCCCAAAACTTAGCTGCACTGACAGCCTGTTTCGTCTAAATTGAGGAAATGATGTTCACTAGTTGAATAAGTGATTATTAAATAATTGAGTGAATACAAATAAGGATAATTAAAATGTGGCTATATCACTAGCACATGGCGTACTTACAAAAATTAAACACTAATCCTCATTTTGAATATTATTAAAGCAGGGAATTCAAATTAAAACATGTTAAGAGATCCAAACCAAACAGGCCTTGAAATTGATAATCAATTCCTACTAACACGTAGCATTCACTGTCATTACTCAATGCCAACGTTCCATTGCTTCTAATTCAAATAGTATATCTCAGAAGAGTCACCTGGAAATAACATCGTCAACGGCCAAGTTTTTAGCAACTTCAGCACCACTGCAACATCATCATCTGAAAGTTTAGTGCTATGATAGTGTGATGTGTCCTTCAAAACATTAAGGATAGAAGCCAGTCTGGACATATGAGCCTCAGTCAACGCCATATGTTTTTGCTCCTTCAGGAAAATTTATTGAACAAGTGTTAGTAATGAGACAAGACACACAAAGGAAAATAGACCTTTATCAAATTTCAGATTTTGAACATGACAGCATAAAGGTACATTCCATTTCAGGGATCATAAAGACTTCAGACACTTATTTTGCGGACAAAGCAAATTAAATACTTAATCACTCAATTGCAAGAAGATGAGCAACCATTTTAAAATGTTAGTTTTTTATCGTTTTTATAGTGTTAGTTATATACATACCAAGGTGGAAGAGTCATTAAAAAATTCTATACACCTTGTGAATGGCAGGACAAAAAAAATTTATATCGATTACAAATACAAAACTTACCGAGCCAGACAGTAAAGTACTATTGAACTCTGAAATTTTCTTGAGGATACCATCAAATTGTGCTGCATCAAAGACAAGCATTCCTTTCTGGAAAGAAAATGAAAGCCTGTTAATTGTGCAGTTGGCTTTATTTTTCATAGTTTTGCATGCATAACAGTGGACTTAATTGTGCGGTTGGCTTTGTTTATTTTTATTTTATTTTTTTTGGATAGAGGTGGTTGGTCTCCTTTCAGAATTGTAATACAATCAAATAGCCAAATATGATGGTTGCTTCATATATTTGGACACAGTTCATTTCTCCGCACTAAGCTTCAGAAAACCAGTCAAGCAGAATAGGGGGAAAAACCATTCTCATACCATCAAATTCATCCAGATAGATGGAGTAATATGTACATAAGTTTCATTAAGTATACAATAAGTTTACATCACCATAATCCATAATTACCTTTTATTGTATACTTGGACTGACTATGCAATCCTGATCACAAGCCATGCTGAATTATACTTATGTGAGTACTGAATGCTAAAGCGAGTCAAACAAATCTATTTGCTATTTCCTATCATAAAACATCTACAATAATGTAAAGCTATTAATGAATAGAAGCCAAAAGAGCTCTTCTTTTTTTTTGAAGTGCCAAAAAACAAATTGGCACTATTCTAATAGTCATAACTAAAAATCCTCTTGAAATATTTAAAATTTCAGCAACTTATATGTGCTGCACTAAAAACCAATGATCACACAGAACAAACTCTAAAATGATCATCTTTAACATACTTGGCTGCAGCTGTGCCTGCAGTTATATAACTGGATATACATTAATATGCAGAACAAGGAGGCCATTTGACTGGCTGTAGAATCGAATCCAGTACCTTGGGAATATGCTTGAAAGCAGGTTTTGCTGCAGTAGCTGTTATGCAAGTAATAATGACAAAATGTAAGTTGATAGTATAATGACAGCAAAAAGGGCCAATTGGGAAACAAGGCATTTTAGAAATACTCCAAACTTACCAACTGACTTCGAAGGTTGACCAGGTGTATAAGCGCTATCTGCAAGCAAGAAAATGGGAACAACTATGAGACATGTTTTTGCACCATGAAAACAGAGGAACAAAGTGGAAGCATCAGAGAAATCAAAAGTGAAGATTATTCCATAACCAAATAAAAATTTCTTACTGCCAGTGTAGGGATCACGGAATGATGGATCTGGAGTAAACTGTCTCTGACCAGTATTTTGAAGAATGAACTCTACAATTTGTTCACGGAATGAAAGAGGCAGATTCTCTTTGACTAGCCACTTGTCAGCAACGTCATATGGATTATCTGTCAATTAGTCAAACAAATGTTCGGATATCAGATCAGGAAGGACTGCCTTAGAAATAGAGAATTGATGCCCAAAAAAGAAATTAGATACAGAATGATAGCAGAAAAAAGAAAACATTTATAAGTCCAGATTGTGCATATCATAAACTTCAAAACATAAAAATCCATGTAAATGGCATGCAGGAACAAGTGCAACAACCCTAAAAAAACAAAACAGAATATTTACCCAAGCTTTCAAGCTTGATCTCCTCTCGGTTTGCTTCCTTAGTGCCAACTTCACTTTAAAATGTAACTTAAACCTATATGTAAGTGATAGGACCTACTTATAAATCATCCTTAAAATACTACTTACATATCTTTCCTCCAGCAATTAATGTAACTAAAGAGTTCTGATAATTTTAAATTCAAAGGGCAGCCCGGTGCACTAAGCTCCCGCTATGCGCCGGGTCCGGGGAAGGGCTGGACCACAAGGGTCTATCGTACGCAGTCTTACCCTGCATTTCTGCAAGAGATTGTTTCCACAGCTTGAACCCGTGACCTAGGTCACATGGCAACAACTTTACTAGTTACGCCAAGCCTCCCCTTCTAATTTTAAATTCAACAACATAAAAATAAAAACCTAAATCATGCCATTGAAGTTTTCATGCCAAAATTATTTCAATTAGAAAAATTCACATAAATATGGATAACATAATAATGACAAATCAGAAAAACATTCCCACACTGGATAACATATTATCAAAACCTATCCAGATAGCAAATGTATTGACAAATACATGACTAAAATCCAGTGGTATTAACCNATCCATAGAAACATTCTAAAACATCTGCAAACTCAATAAATGAAGGGGCAGCAAACAAAGCATAAGTCCGTCTCTTGGACCATTTTTCTGCATGAGAGATACAGAAGATAGTCCAGCATGACCATGGATGCTTAATCTTAGAAAAGTCAGAGTCAGGAGTGGCCAAGCATTAAGAGTTCCCAACACCATGCTGATAAAAAGCAGAGCATAATTCCAGATACTACAGATGCATTCTCCTTCAATAACCTGGAATGGTAAGCAAAAACAAAAATACCTGAGCGATTGTAGGGCAATTTGCGAACAGGTTCACCATCTCCAATATCAACATCAAACACTGGATGCAAAAAATAAATTAAATGGTGACTGGAAGTAAAAGCTCGAAAAGACCAGCGAGAAAAGGTAGAGCAGAATAAGCAGTGCCTACCATAATCATATTGGATTCCATCATGAAGAGGACGTGTCATGCCATCATCAGGTCCATCGACCACTTCACCAATCTAAATTGATAACAAACAGCATTAGAAACAGACACCTTAATGACATGATTTCAGATCAATGAGAAAACAAAGCACGCATATGACAAAAGCGTCAAGTATGTAAACAGTCTAGTAACAGAAGCTACTCAAGCGCGATTTTGACTAAAGAGAAGAACATGCATCCACAACAAATGCATGCCGTGTAAAATGCAAGAGCAGTAACATAAGCTAATACACATTAGCTATAGGATGGGCATGCCTATTCATAACAAAAGTTTTAGCTATTGAGCACAAGAAACTATCAAATAAACACAGCAGAGGATCCTCCCCCCCCCCCCNCCTCCCCCCCCCCCCTTCTCCTAGCACCTCCATAGGTGCCCCCAAAACAAAAACAAAAAAACTCAAAAAGCCCAAAAAAACTAGGAACGAATATATGATCAAATTGGAGAATATAGCAGTGAAAACAGAATATAAACATAAATCTTATTATTACCTTATCCCACTTTTGTTCCATCATATTCCATGCATATGCCACTCCATTGTCCCCTTCACGGACAACTTTAGTCTGGCCATCACTAGTACCTGCTCAACACATCAAGAAACAAACCATTAGATAGAGGAGAGAACTTCGATATCGGAAAAAGCGAATATAAATGAATAAGTAACTACTTGTTTTTCTTCTTTTCTAATTTTGATATGTCACTGATGTGTGGCTATAATTTCATAGTTTCGTACATTATTTGCCTTGCATTTTATATGCTTTAATGATAAACTACACTTTAATTGTGCGTAACGGAGTCTATTTTATGTGTAGGTGAATTGGAGATGAAAGGAGAGAAAAAGAAATACTTAAAGTCTAAAGTGTGCTCGAAAACAGCTGAAAAGAAGAAAGAAAGAAGTGAGCAGCCTACGAATGAGGAAGCTGGCGAAGCCAGCCCTAAAGTGGGCGTTAGAGCAGGCCAGGCGAAGGGTAACACGAGGTCCACCAGGCTTTGGAGCTGGCGACGCCAGGCCTGGGGCAAGCTCAAGCTGGCGGTAGACCTCGCGAGGCCAGGTCTGGGCGTGTACATTCCGAGTTTTAAAGACTTATTTCGTCTCATGGTTTGACTAGGACTTGGCCTACACGTTTAGGTCTTTTCCTACACATATAAATAGGCCTAAAAACGCCACTTTTGAGGACTTTTGCAACCGGAGGCAAGGATAGCTCGTGGAACAACCGTTGCGAGTTAGACTCATCGATTTCTACATCCCTTTATCCTTACTTTGTAATTTAATTATGCAAAATACTTTGGATATTGTGACTATGAGTATGAGTAGCTAAACTTCTAATCTAGGGTTTTGATGGAACCTATGGGAGGATGATTTTCATGTTACGTTAATATAGATTTGTCGTAGTATTTTCTCTATTTGTTCAACTATATTATTATTGTTGTCGATTGAAGGGCCCTCAATCGGCTGTGCCTATTTCGTGTGTATTACTCGGGAGAGAGTGCATATTTAGGTAGTTGTTGAACAACATCACTCCTAACGTATATGAGGGATCAATACGGAGGGTTTAAAGGTGGGATTAGGGATAACGAAACCTTGGTGCGATCTGAGTGAGTTGTACTTAAGGCCAGCTAGTGTAATTCGGGAGAATATGTCTAGTAAATTGTGGTAATTACTCGGGAGAGGGTTACGACAGTCAGAGTGCTCATGATCGGTATAGAAGACTTAGGCAAATTTATAGAAGACGTAGCGGAAAGGATTCCGACAATAGGGGAAATCACAACCTTAGATCATTCCAATTCTTGTCTACAAACCGTAGTAGTTAGTTATTAATTGTTGCACTTTCATTACATAATATTTAGTTAGTAAACATCCAAATTGTTACTTAATTATTTCTGAAGATTGATTGTGTGAGTTCGTGCGAGTCTAGTAGCTGTGTTTGATAGGTTAATTCCCTGTGGGATTCGACTCCGGACTTATTAGCCGGAATATATTTGCAACGACCGCTTAGTCCTTTTTATAAGGCATAGTCGGGCATGATCAGTCACATATCCAACTATTCAAATTACAGACACTTTTCTTTGATTGATCCAAAAGTAAATTGGGGAGACAACTTATGAAAAACAATGAGCCAACTCAAACCATTAATAATTAGGACAATAACAATATGCATCAGGCTATATCATAATAATCAAACCTGGGGTCTGTAAGGCCTCTAGCCCAGGAAGCTCTTCCAATTTCAACCCTCCAACTTTTTTCCTGAAAGATGAAATGACATAAAAACTTGAATCAGACCAACCTATATATAATTAGATAAATAAATAGCAAAGCTCCTCGGAGCATCCTTTTAAATCAAGAACAACATGTAAGAGAGAGAGAACAGCTAGAAAGAGGTTTAATTTCGGCAAACTTCATGTACACACCAGACCTGAAATTCTAGAATTTCCTAAGATAGCAAGCACTTTTATAACACAGGAAAAAACAAAGGAGAAAACAAAAACATAAAGAGGACACTCGAACAGATTTTGTAACTGTAGACTTGATGCGACATGATTATCATGAGCGAGCACAGCAAGGCGAAGTATTTTATCTTACACTAATAATCACAGAAAAGTTAATGCTACACAAAAGGGATATTGCAAGGACTAATCAGAATCCACAAAGTTATGGCAGAGAAAGAGTAATTAGAAGGATCTGGATGCCGAACCTACTGAGTTTGTACTGTGAGAGTTGGGCAGCATATGACTCTAGTTCAAGCTGGTCAGCAATCTTATCCTGATGGGCTGTCCAAATGCGCACAACACCGTCAGAGCATGCAGTAACAATGTCTCCGTTGTCTAAGAATTTGGCATCCCAAACACAACCAGGATGCTCTAGGCTTTGGACACAAACTCCATCTGCCACATAGTGATGTCACGTCCATGATCAGGGGGAGACAATCAAATAAGAAATATCATAATGTAAGAAAATCAAGGTAGTCAAGCACATTAACAAATTACAGTTAGGATACAGCAGTGGCTACTATGACTAAGGGCAGCCTACATGGAATCCTCAATGGTAAAACAATGAAAGAGTTGCGTTTTGTGCAAGTTTGGTATCAATGAATTCAAAATTACAGCTTTTGGGGGTTTAAAATAATCAACCTTTTCAGAGACCAGTTATCTGAAACTGTCCTTTGTCAAAGAAACCTCATCAAAATAAAAAGTGAGGGGGTGTGGAGTCTCAATATCCACCAACAAGCATTCACCATTCAGAACTTAGTATTCTTCTTTATACAGGAATTTCACAATTAAGGATGAGGTGGGCGTGATACATTTTTCCCCTTTCTGTAGGAATGAGAAGGGGCTTTCAATTATCCATCAGTTATTTAATTGACCTTCGAGATATTACTATATAATAATCAGTGCCTAATCGAGGAGACCAATGACAGTTTTAGCAGAGCAAAGAAGAAGAAAGAACAAATACCACTCGCCAAGAGAGTAAGCACTGAAGTACAAACACATTGATTCAGAGGCTAAAATCCAAAGAGCCTTCACTTCTATAGGAAACTACCAGAACAGTTGCATGCACTACTCCCGTCTTCACAATTTATAAAAAGTGGTTTAAATCATTTCATCAACAACAGTGTCCTCATTTCTGAAACAAAACTTTATCTAGTTAAATGGCGAGAGCTGCATATATAGAGACTTCATAAGAAAACAATGTGCACAACTACAATGGATGAATTACAAGCAATCCCAAAAAGGAAAAAAGGATTCTCACCTTTCCAGATCTTTGCAAAACGATCCTCACTACCACTGACAATAAGCCCGGAGGCATGAGCATCAACAGAATAGACAATAGAAGTGTGACCAACCATCTCTAGCAGAACTTGACCACTAAGTTCCCACAGCCTGATGGAACTGTATAATGAGATATGTACAGATTAGAAATTACACATTGTTAAAGATGAAAAAGCACAAAAAGGAAAAAGATTAAACTAGAGGCTTTGTGAGATAAACAGAGTAACTTTAGAATTTTAACCATGCACCTAATAAGCAGGTGGAGTGAACCCTAGAGGTTCATTTTTTGACAAAAAGTAGAGAACCTACACAAAGATCTGTTTCTTCACGATGACACCCAGATATCTGTGCTAACAGGGATCTCATGAGCAGGGACGAAGCTACATCGTCAAAAAATTACACTGTATATATAGGTAAAATATTAGAATTTAGAGGTATATAACATATATTGAACACCCTTTATCAGGAATTTTTTTTTACTTCTTTCAAGTTTGAACACCCTAGATGAAGTTCCTGGCTTCGCCATTGCTCATGAGTGCAGCAAAAGCTAATAGAAAACAACAGCATGTTCTCAGGTGTACAAACTCACTTTCAACCTCTTCAAGCGGTCTCTCGGCATAACAGCCAACAAACCTACATCCCATGCCCTTCATCTCCTGATCCTCCTTTTCAAGGCCCAACTAAACATAACAAGCTTTACAGTTGCTGGAATTGACCACCGGACTCCAAAACATTCAGCGAAGACCAATGGAACTTGCTTGCAACTGCAATGCACCGACAAAATGGACCACATCTTCGCCCATCTCAAAAAAATGCCCCACATCTTCATCTGGAAGTTTATAATAAAATACCAGCTGACAAATTTAAGATCCTTTTTTCCAAAATATTCCGCAGTTAGGACCCCTTGTTGTCAACCATGTGAAGATTATACCTTCCTCGCCATCCTAGGAATCCAAACTGATAGGACAGGAACCCTGCATCCTCTCTCTTTAATAGCATGTGACAAAAGGATTCCATCCAGAATAAATTGCTCACCTTTTCTTTTCATTTCCAATTGTCCTATTCTAACTATATGATACTCTTGAACAGAGTAATTCCATAAAGTTCTTTGTAGTTTTCTATCTCTCAATCTTGTAAATCCCTCAGGAATCTCAAACCTCATGAGGTTTTGTCATCAAATATGTGAATTTGACTGGATTATCAAGTTCCACTGACTTGAGACACTAAAAATGGTTGGAAAAGCCAATGCTCAGGCTGTTGTCAGTTGTCACCACACCATTTGTGCTTCCAGAAATGAATTCTACTTCTCTTCCCTAATTTGAACTTAATGTTGCCATCGAACTCTTCTGACCCCTTCAAGATATTCTTCCACAATTTGCACTCATAGGGTCACATCAGAAGTAAATCATTTGACGAGTTCAGAGATAGAGTATTTCTTTGATTCTCAACTCTTGCCCGACTATTTACTAAACTAAGCAGATGAAATTCCTCTGATATCCCAAGTCAGAAGTTCTTGTATGTTGCACCAAAGGTCACTAAGCATAGCACAGTAAAGATCAAAAACAACTGTAAAGAGAAGGAATGACAATAGAAAGCAAAACCTTACCCATCATGGGATGCAGAAAGAATTCCTAGACCAGGAACTGCAGCAAGGCCTCGAACAGTATCTGCACGATGCAACGATCCATAAGGCACATATCATAAGCACAGCATGAAACCTTTGAAAAGGATAAGGCTGACAAACAAGCATAAGGAGTTGCATGAGAGTGCATTGCAAACAACCGTAGCAATGGGAAAAAACATGCTTTTACACAGAAAGATATAATCAAAAAGGGGCTAAGAAGATAGAACGATAATGACCTCAAAGAGTTAGAATGATCAAAGACCCATCTGATCATCTTAAATGGCAGATGCTACTTCGGGAAATCACAATGTTTTTATTCATAAGTCATCAAACACCACCCATATTTGTTTCCTTTTAATGCATACTTGCTTAACATCCATACTTGAAGAGAGACATTAACCAAAATTAAATAGATGAAAGAGAAAGTAGCAGACGTGCTTTCAAAAGAGATCACAAAGACAAACAAAAACATAAAAGACACAAAAATATCCCAGAGCCACATTCACATGAATAAATCACGCATCAAACCTGTATGCCCAGAAAAAGTGTGTATACATGCTGCTCCCTTCCAAAGCTTCAGCGTTGTGTCACTTGAGCCTTATACCAACGTAATTAGCATCAGTCACAGGCTAATCAATATAAAAACTGATCTTTTTAGTATCAACCTACATTATCTTGACGATGCTAAAAGCTGAAAAAGTTGCAATAGAAACACAGATAACTCGTAATATGGGTGAATCGATCGCAACAAAGTTTTAAGATCTTAAAAATTCAGAGAGGGTATCCGGAGATGAACAGAAAAGGTAGAAATGCGTAAAAATGCAAAACTTCAATACATACCTGTAACAAGCTCGCCTGAGGGCAGTTTAATAATTGCTTGGATAGCTGCTTTATGAGCTTCCAAAACTTCAACCTCTTCGCCTTTCCTCCATCTTCTTAATGTACTGTGTCAGGGAACATGTAAACAAAAAAAAAATCAGATAATAATAAAATGGTCCTGTAAGTTGGTGGAAGAAGTTCACTGACATGTGGATGTAAGTATAAGCATGTCTCCTATAACATGCAAAGGACAGTAACCAGCCAGAACTTGACGCAAAAGAACAGTAGGCAAACCATTTAACAAGAGGAACATCAGAAAGGCATGCACCCAGTAAGGTATTTGAAGAGGGGAATACTAGACAGGCATGCAAATGCGAACAACTAACGACTATCGACCTTGACACATCGCGAGAAAGGATGCTATCAGGACAAGACCTTGACATATGTAAAGAAGTTAACTGGCATAATGCCAAAATTGGAAATACCCAGGACGCTCCAACAAGCATGAGCAAAAAGATATGTCAACCATGCTAGTACATAGAAGTTCCAAATTACTGAGACTCCCTTACTCTACAAACACCGTAGTTCCAAATTCTAGTTGATTCGTTGTCAAAACACACAGTTCGCAATGGTCAAAAGAGAATCTTTTTTTAATGTTTCTAAAAGAGAATCTTTTAACCACACTCTATGATAGATTTTTTAACAACAACATACTCAGTGTGATCCCACAAGTGGGGTCTGGGGAGGGTAGGGTGTACGCAACCTTACCCCTACCTTGTGTGAGGTAGAGAGGTTGTTTTCGATCCACGATTACATGGTAATATAGGCAATATTGGATAACGTTTACACTAATAAAAATTGTAATTCATTCTAAAGCTCACTCTATCTCCCTTACTCTAGAATTCATTCCAAATTACTTAAGACTCTCTTACTCTAGAAACATCCTGGTTCCAAATTGTAGTTGATCCATTGTTAAAACCCATAGTTCCCAATTGTCAAAAGAGAATCTTTTTTTAGTAAGTAGTTTCTAAAATAGAATCTTTTTACCACTCTATGATACATTTTTTGTATTACCAAAATGAGGTAATATAGACAACATCGGATAACTTTTACACTAACAAAAGTTCGAATTCATTCTAAAGCTCACACTACCTCTACTTTAAGATCTATCTCCATTTACTTGCCATGATACTCAACTATTGACTTAGTGCCCACTGTCACTCAAATTAGAAACCTAGTATATACTGAGAGTAAAACAATGGCTAATTCAGTTCAAAAAATTGACGAGCAAATTCTCTTTCTTCAATTGTACAACTAGAGTAACAAAGGTCAATCGGATTAGATTGACAAGCATGAGGAATTTTTTTTTTTAATCAGGAATAAGGATGAGGAATTCTGCTGCAAAAAGAATGATGCGTATCATGTTCGGTAAAAAGTAATAAATCTCACATACCAATCAACAGATGTTGATACAACGTCTGAGCCATCCAAAGCAACACCTGTAACTTGCAACTTATGACCCTTAAGTGTCTGAATTTTCTCTCCAGTAGCCAAATTCCACACCAAGATAAGAGTGTCCATGCCACCAGAAACAAGTCCGCCCTCAGGAAACTCCTTCCCGGGAGAAACCCAAGCCAGTGGCCCAACGAAACTTGTATGCCCTAGCAATATCTTTGACGTAGTATAATTGCGGTGGTTTGATTCATCTGGAGACCAAAACCTAATGGTTCTGTCTCTAGATGATGTCACAAAACCAACATTGTCACATATGCATATCCCCCGAACCTAGTTGTGTATAATCAGTACAAATAAAAAGAAAAATACTTAAAAGCTGATACAGATTCTTCTTTTTTATCGAATTCAAACACAAATTAGTTGACACTAAAGCAATCATTCATGTAATAGACACAAAATTGTTTCCACATTCCAAGATGAAATTTCACATAAGTCTCCGCATATGCAATAACATATATCAACAAATTTCTTCAATGAGAACATATTTTAAGTGAATCATTACGGAAGTTTTCATTATCAGTAGCATTAGCAATCATGAATCCAATCAAATGAGCAACAAAAAGCTGATACGTTACTCTGTCTTAAGGAGAAACATTAAGTTTTGCTGAAATTCACATGTAAAATTGCAATTTATCCACAAACAAGAAAAACAACAATTGTAAAGTTTGAGTGCTAGTAATGCAAGTATATAATGAGACGTGACCGGTAATTTTCTCTCCGCATGTGTATCAAGTATCAACAAATTTCTTCAATGAAGATTTTAAGTGACTAATTATGGAAGTTTCATTATCAGTAGCATTAGCATTCATGAATCCAATCAATTGAGCAACAAAAAACTGAATAAGTTCCTCTGTCTTAAGGAGAAACATTACGTTTTGCTGAAATTCACATGTAAAATTGCAATTTATCCACACACAAAAAAAAAAAAAAACAACAATTGTAAAGTTTGAGTGCTAGTAATGCAAGTATATAAAGAGAGTGAAGAATTATACGTCGTCTTCGTGACCTGTAAGCTGACACCTTAACTGATACTCGGCAGAGTCGATCTCCATTGTAATCTAGACTGAGGAAAACTGGTTTGGACGGAGGAAACTAGGGTTTCCGAATAGAAGAATCTAGAATTAAATAGAGAAAAAAGGTGAGACGGAGATGAGTCTATGAAGAAGCAATTCTTATACGCTTTGTGTGATCGGAACGGAATCTCTTGCTCTCCAAGTCTGCTGCTGATTACTGAGTTCTTTTGAGTGTCTTTCCGCCTTCTTGGCAATTCAACAATTTTACAAAACTTTCTTTTCCTTAACTTCAATTTTATTACTATTATTATTATCTCTCTTTTTCCAATACCTTGTTGGACTCGGACTAATAATTAGCCGAAAATTCCACTAGCGTCCATTGCGATACCTTAATTATTTACTCTTTAAGATCTTTTTCTTTATCCTTTATAAGCAGTCAACTACTTTCATCTCCTTTACTTGAGTTAGTTGAATTGAAATCAAATTTTATTTTTAAAGGATAAGGGTGTGTTTGGTATGACCGGAATGTTTTTTCATTTTGTTATTTGGTTGCACAAAATAATTTTAAAAAATATTTTTTTAGATATTACATTTTACTGAAAATTGAGTAAAATAACTTTTCTAGAAAAAGGTAGAAAAATATTTTTCAAAAACTTAACCTAGGATCACATCTAACCCTAACCCCTCCCCTTTCTCTCCCATACCCCACCTCTCCCGCCCCTCGCTCCAAAAAGATTTTTTTTCAAATTTTAGTTTTTTTTCTTCCGTCACCAACCCACCCTGCTAATCCCCAATATATTTTTTTTGTATTTTTAATTTTCTATTTTTTTGTTTTTCTGCACCACCTCACCCCATTCCCATCCCCATCGCCACCCCCTCGCCTCGCCCGCCCCACCCCCTTTTTCTGCACACACATCCTTCCTGTGGCCAAAAAAAAGCGATTCTTTTATTTTTCAATTTACAGATTCAAAATTTTACGAGTTCCAAAGTTATGAGTTCGGAGGTTTATATGTTTGGAAGTTTGCTAGTTTATAAATTATAGAGTTTACGGATTCGAAAGTTTAATGGTTCCTAAATTTATGGAATTTGTGAGTTCAGAAGGTTGTTGGTTCGAAAGTTTATGGCTTCATGTTTATTGTATCTAAATCATTTATGAATACTCTAGAAAAATTATTTTCCTTGATTTGCGTACAAAACACCGAAAAATGAGTAAGATTGCTTCTTGTTTTTTAAAAAAATATTTTTCGTTATACCAAACACACCCAAAAATTTAAAGAACATATAAGTCATGATATTTAAAGGATGTGCATACTTTTTATATTTGCGGGTGATAAAACTTTCATAATCATAAATTATTCAACAATTAACCATTGAGAAGGGTAATTGATCTGTTACAAATAGTTAGATTTTTAATGATACAAAAATTATTTTTCTTAAATCCTAACAGATAATAATAGAAATTTAGTATCAGATTGTAAAAATCGGTTTAAAAAGTTTTAATGATCAAATATAGTATATTGTCTCGCAATAATAACAAGCAAACTATATCTTAAAAAAGTTTTAAAAGATATAAATTGTGAGATTATGCAGTAAAGATGCTCTTGTTTTAACTTTTTTTATCTAGTAACTAGTATGTACTAGCGAAAAACATATGAAATTGGGAGACCGTGGCATTTATTCCAAGTTAATGAATGAGATGCTTAACTTTAATACTGGAGTAGTATATTTTTATAATAAAGTATAAAAATTGTAATAATGTTGTATATTTTTATTTTTATTTCAGAAACTACTATTGATGTGATCTAGGTAAATGCAAGTAAAATAATAAATAATAAAGTAATTAATAAAAATAATATAATGAAAATTTCAACATGAATTTAATGACATCATGAAAAAAGATGTATAAAGCAAAGAACAAGCAATACTCACGTATATATAAAGATAAAGAATAATAATAAAAATGCAGTCAAGAAAGCTTTGAAGTGATTTTCGACGAAGAAATTTCAATCTTAGAGACATATTTATCAATTTTAAAACTATGTCAAAAGTATTCCAATTTTAATTCTAAGAGTTTTTTGGTGCCCCTTTGGATTACAAACCATGCTGAAACAATTTTTTGATATTCTTTCTTTTTTGTGTCGAACGATTATGTCGAATCTGCTTAGTAAATACTACAATATAAAGTAATTGGTATACTTATCTTTACTAGTTTTTGGGTACGCGTTTCGCGCGTATATTCCATATTGTTTAAGACATCACATAAATATATTAAATAATGAGTTTAATAATAGTTTGATAGATGTTCAATTAACTTTACATGATTTTATTTTTTTGGGTGGATATTTAGTCACTGGCGGATGCAACTAAGCAGTATCGGGTTCATCTAGTTTGATAGATGTTCAATCAATTTTACATGATTTTTTTTTTTGATATTTAGTCACGGGCGGATGCAACTAAGCAGTATCGGGTTCATCTGAACCTAATACTTTCGACGTGGAACATAAATTTATGTATGAAAATGTACTAAAATTATAATAAAATAGTAGATATGAACTCCTGACTTAAAAATATAATAGATTCAATGCAAAAATCTAAGAAATTAAACCCATAAAACTTAATGTGTGGACCCGTCACTGTAATTAGTACTGCTTAGAGAAGCCATGAGTACGTGATCAAACAGTTTGAACTTCACCTAGCTACGATCAAATTAAAAGAGCCAAGAAAAATTCTTGTATAAATCAAAAGAGCCAAGAAAACTTCGCGTAGAACCTAAAAGCTTAAGACATTAAAAGACTTTTACTTAGAGTCTATTTTATTGAGTGTAAAATAAATATATGCTTAGTATTTTCTCAAAGTCCAATGTGATTGGAGGTTTAAAAGGCGCAAAGAATCAAGAAAACTGAGTTAACCAAAAGATATATATACACGTTTCTTCTTAATATAAATTTGGTATTTGTATGGAATTTTTTTTAGTAAATTGTATTATTCCATGCTCAACTTTATGTAATAATAATAACTAAAGTGATGGCACTGAAAATGTTTTTATTTAATATAATCCATAGGACAGTGAATAACATTCTGAGGCATTCTACACAACCTTATACCAAAAGACTTTACCTAATTCTCGATAATCATGTTGACAATGTTGGGCCCGTTGCACTGGCTTTACTTGCTAGTTACTATTATATAGGAATGACTGTAAGGGACGAACATGGGTAAAAATTGTTTGTCGTGGGTATTTTCAGTTTTACTCTTCAATTTCACAAACATGGCAGGTTTTTGTATTTTTGTGCGACATGTGTTTTCCACTAGAGGTGGGTGTTCGAGCGGTTCAGATTGGATTTGAAAATTTCGATTTGGCTTTTTAATTTTCGAATTGAAAAAAATGACAATTCAAATCCAATCCAAATAAATTCGGTTTGGATAGAATTTTTTAAGTTCAATTTCAGATTAATCAGTTAGGATATGTTGGATTTTCAGTTTTTAGCTTATAACTTGAGATGTTTCTTCTTTTTATAAAAATAAATACACAAATGACTTACTCATTAAATTGCCTGAAAAGTTCTTCATTCTTACCTCAATCATCCAAATAAAGTATTCAAATAGTGAAATTATTATCAAGGAAATGCAATAAAGATATTAATACGGCCGATAAGAAGTAACAATAGTAAAATCATGTCCAAATAAAAAGTATTCTGACAGTAACCAAGTAATTAATATTGAATATATGAGATAATATCCAACGGGCAGGGTATTGAACTTATTACTATTGGCATATGGATAATAGATTAAATATAAAGTACAAAATTTTTGAATTTTAGGATATCTAAAAATCCGAAGTACCAAATCCAATATCCAATCCGAAATTCAAAAATTTTAAAAATTAAATCTAAAATCCAATTCGTAGTCTGAAAATCCAAACTAAAAATCCAAAAAATTCGAACTTCGATTTGGATTTCGGGTTTGCCCAAACTATGCCTACCCATACTTTCCATTATTATTTCTCTATTCCTTCACAAATTCTTTATTTTTCTTTGGTTTGAAATCACAAAAACTCTCTTCATTGTTCTGTCCGGGTTTGTCCTTCTCAATCACCTGCTTGCTGGTACGTTTCTAACATTTTTTCTCCGGTATATTTTTAATTATTATTTAGCATTAAGGCAGCTTTTGTTCTGATCATATCCTTTTTCTTGTTTACCATTATATAGAAGTGAGAGTTAAAAAGGGACGAACACTGGCAAAATGGTAATTACAATTGTTTGTCATGGGCACTTTTGTATTTTACTTTTCAATATCAACCATTTCATTCTCCTCATTTTCATGACACGTGTTGCTCTTTGTATTTTTGTCTTCCACTTTCATTTTCCATTTTCCACTTCACTAGCTGCCATTTCGTTATTCCTCCTTCTTCTTCTTCTTCTACAAAAAATGCTATGTGCTTCTTCTCTGGGTTTTCCCTCTTCTCATTTTGCTGTTATTTTCTTTTTGATTTTCGAAGTGTTGCATGTGAGTAATTTCTTTTACCTTAATAAAAAATTTAGATTTTAACCTAAGATTTGAAGTTGGGGTTTTAAAAATTCAATGTAACCAAGCAACTAAATAGCAAATAGGATTTTTTGGAGCGCAAGAGGAATAAACGGGTGAAGGATGCAAAGAAGCTGCTTTTATAGTGATCTTTGAGCGGCTCATATTGAGAGGTAATAAATGAACTTCTTTCTTCCTGAGAAAACTATTAAGAACCTTTTTTTTGTTTATTTTCATTTTCATATCGATTGTCATGATTTTCGTTAATTGCTATTTCATACTTATATATGAAAAAATGGATTGTACTTACGAATTTCAAACACATTGCTATTTCATTTATAAGAAAACGGTTCCAAGATGACAACCTCATAAACATGCTTTATTCAACTTTTTTGGGGGCTGAAATTGAGTGTCAATTTGATTTCTACTTTTGTCATGTTCTGTTCGTGTCTTCTTCTTGTGTACTTATGATTTTTATTTTTTATATATTTCCTGTTTTCTTACCCATTTTATACATGCATGTTCTGGTTTATCACTGATTTGCATATGTCTAAGATTTCATAGATATTATCAGTCCAGTTCCTTCTCCCCTTTCTTTTACTGCTCTAACTTTATTGTTTCAAACTTTGCTGAGACTGAATTGAAAGATGAGGGTGCTAGCTTAGTTGCAAATGCATTAGAAGATTTGAGCTTTCCTCGGATAGGGTAGTCATGAAAGTTGATAGCTTAAGACTATACAAATAAATGACATTGTGTGTTTCTACTTCGTTGTTCTACCTTTATTGAGCGTCAAAATATTACATAGGGACATGTATCCAACTTAAGTTGTTGCTCGATGTGTTAACCCCCTCAATATCATATGGTCTTTGAAAAAGATCCAAGAAGTATAATAATATTATGATTTATGCGAGGATAAAAAATAATTTCTTCTACATAATAAGAAAAATATATTTATTATTACCTATTGGATTCATTTCTTGTGCCAATATTGTAGCTTATTTAATGAATCTAATTATAGATTAAATCATTGTGCTTTTAAGGTTAAAGTTTTAATGAACTCAGGTTATTGCACAACAAGGATAATGGAGATCGCTCTGTTGATGTTTGATAAGATGCTTTCCGAGGATCTTGGCTCATTGATGTCAATTATACATGGATATTCTGAAAAGGGCTTGTAAAGAGGTAACTAGGTTAATCTACATCCATACGGAGGACTGTCTGAGCCTTGATATTGTTACTTTTGTTTATCCTAGATGCCTGTAAAGAATTTGGTGTGTTTTGTTTAGGAAAGGAGTGCATGATTCCACTAATTAGTTTTACTACTGTTAATATATGTGTCATAGGTGTAGAAATCTTATTAAGGATTATACTCTTTTAATGGGAAACTCAATGTCATTTAGAAAGCCCAAAAAGTTCTCTCCTTGAGGCTTATTTTTCCCTCTACTTTACATGTACATATAATTCAAACATATATAAAAGGATAAGGTATTTAATAGGATAAATACTTCTGTAATCAGTGGCGTATCTACATGTTATTTTTGGGTGCTCAAGCACCCATTATCTTTAACAAGATTTAGTAAATTTGTATAGGTATTTATAAAAATATTGAGTGAGCACCCATAACTAAACTCCTTTATCCTCTTCTTTCATATTTTTTATCAGTGAGCACCCGCGACTTTAAAATCCTGGATCCGCCACCGACTGTAATGAGATGGCATAAAAAAGATGTGATGTGTATTAAACTATCACATTTAACTTTTTGTATCATTGTACATAGTACAGGTAACAGTCTAGGTGCACTGCTCAAGCTTGCGAACCTTTTCAATTATGTGTTAAATTTGAAATGAGATTTTAATCTATATCATTGACCTCTTAGATAATAATCTTATGATATTCTTATTTATCTTTTTAAAAAAAATTAGTATGTCTCCTGATTGCTGGTAATTTAAATGCATAGTTTAAAATTTATAATTGATCCACATGCAATTAAATAGTTGACTGAGGTGTCGTCAAGTGTTCATTATTCTAGATTGCAGATGAAGCAGGCACATACTCCAGAAATTGAGCAACCTACATCTATAAATGATAAGTGGGCGTATGTATAGGTAGCGATATATCTCTTGCTATATGTTGAGCATTGTCTGAACTCACTTCACATTCACAATTGCACGAAAATAGCAATGCGTTACTTTATTTGAAGTATCTTACCAGATTTCTTTCTTTTTGTATTTCAGAATATGCATATCATAATATTAATCAGACACTTTCCTTTTGAAGTGCTACAGAGATCAACAACTCCAAGTCTGTTTCGAACTTGGGGAATGCATTTTTACGAATATAACACCAACTTCTTGACAACCTCTTCAAATATGTACTATTTCTTAAAGTAACATAGTTCTCACAGTTTTAAATCTTAAAAAAAAAAAAACATCTCTACCGCAAAAGTTTACTTGCAATGTGAACTGCAATAGTTTTACCTGCAATGTGGCATATATTGTGTTTGAAAATTGATGTCTGTGTCAAGGGTGTGAATGACTGGTACACTCGAATCTATTAATAAATTTAAATTCTTAAAAAAATGGCTTGGTATTTTGTTTACCCAAACTAACAGTTTTGTGTTATCATGTAGAATAACGATACTTACATCTAAGCTGCTCCTGCTGGAATCTATAGTCCCTGTCACTGAACCTTCCCGAAAAAATTTTAATATAATTTTTTGAAAAGTGTGGGAATGTAATTAGTAAAAAGGTGCTTAATTTTGAGGGACATGATGCTCTTGTATATTTGATATGCCTTTATCAGAAAGAGAACTTGCAAGACTCATTTTGACGATATGTTGTCTTATTTGTCATTGCCTAGGAGAAAACATAATGATCTTATTGTACTATTTCTAGGAAAATCATAACTGGGTGGCTGTAATCTTAGAAGTTGTTGTTCTTGGTAATTTTGAGAAGGCATAGGAAATATATATTGAACTGTCTTAAAGCATTGTCTTACACTGTAGGTGTCTCTTTATAATCTAGAGAAAAGATGAATGCAATTAGTACAATTCAGGAAGTGCTTAGTATGGCAAAGAAGAAGAATTGACGGAATCATGACTAAAATGACGTGTGAATGCCCCAATAGTGATATTATATGGACTGCTTTAGTTGAGATGGCAACTTATCTCAATCCTCATGTTATTGCTGTAGTTAGAAAGTTATTTGAAAAAAGAGGAAGTTAGACAAAGCTACACATGAGTTTAATAGGATATTTTTGTTGCACCAGGTATTTGGAAATTTTAGACAATGCATTACAAGTTTGAAGAGCAACATAGTAATAGACTGCATAGGAATGTTGTAGTAAAGAGATGTGCTGCTGCAAAACAAAAGCACGGAGAAGGTGGAGCCATATTGAAAGAAAGAATAGGACAAGGAGATAATAGACAAATACTAGGAAGTGCTGCATAATTCATAAAGATTGCGTTGGTTTGAGAAGATGAAAACAATCTCAGTTATATATGTTGACTTAGTTTTTCAGTCTAAGTGATGTTTCAACTGGGAATTCTTTTCGTGTTGCTACTTTATCTTTTACATTTATCCAAACAAGCAAATTTTATATCCTTTGGCATTCGAAACCTTATATTTGCAGGTTACTCTACCACAGGAGAAAAAATTCGAACTCTTCTTATCCTCAAAGATCTCCATCAAGATCTCCATCACATGTATTGGAGAAAATAGTTTCAGATACCTTTTGCATATGCTGCTAAAATAACTTATTTGCATATATTAGTCATGTTGGGCCCGTGCATAGCACGAGTTTCCCTTACTAGTCTACTATATAGAAATGGGAGTTGGGGTAGGACGAACACTGCTATATGTCATTGTACTAAATTCAATGTGAATAGTACCATGTACTTGGGCCAGTGGCTGACGCACGTGATGGCAAGCGGGTTGAACCCGTTTCGTCAAAAAATAATACTGTGTATATGTATAAATTAGGATTAAAGCTGCGTAAATTTTGTATAAATATTTTATTGAACCCACTTGACAACTACTATTTTACGACTAAAGTTATGTACTTATAAGATTGAATCCGCTTGCACAAAATCCTGGGTCCGCCACTGACTCGGGCCATTTCATCAAATGAATACATGGGTTATTTGTCTATTATACCCTTGACCAATAGCATTAATTAATTTTATATTTAGGGTAAAATTGGTAATTGAGTTTCTTTATCCTATTTATCATTGAACACGTGTATTCCACTTTTCAGTGCCTATTTTTCTATTCCCACTCTCCAATAGTACAATCTAGAAACACTTACTATGATCACTGATCATCGCTATTTGTGAGACCTTGAATTCGTTTTCTTACACATTTTTCAATTTGGTTCCAAGTTTTCATTTCTCTGTTTCTCAATTTGTGTGAGTTTTTTACCTTTTTTTCTTTTCTTAATAACCCCTACTTCTTCCATGCCTCACTTCTTAGTTTTTATTTGAATTGCTCTATAGTGATTACTGTTTATATACGGCCTCTACTGAATCTATGGTTTCTGGTAAGAATTATTACATTTTCTTTTCTTTTCTTTGTTTGTTGCTAGATTTTAGAAATTTCAGGAGTCTCTATTTTGAGCCCTAAATTCCTCCTTAAATTTTAATGAAAATATGCGCAATTTGGGTCCTTTCGGCGGGGGAAGGGGAGAGGGGGTGGAGGGCATTCGATTGAAAAGAGACTTGTGCGATTTGTAACAATTTCGAGTGTTCTGCTGTGAGTGAGCTTGAACCAAGCTTCAATGGAGATTCCATAGAATGTTCTCGAAATTCAGAAGCAATGATATTGAGAGGAAGAAGAGAAATATTGAAGCAAGAATCTCAAATTTCATTCTTTAAAATGAGGACTTATATACAAGACGTTTTAACAAGAAAATAACAACCACTAACTAACCTCCAGCTAGTATAACTAACTGCCAGCTGGCAACTAACTGACTTAACACACTAACATCTAATAACTAATAATTTTTGCATCTTAACACCCCCCTCAAGTTGGAAGTGAGTGAAGCACAGACAACTTGTGCAATATAGCAGAATGTTTGATGCCTGTTAAGGCCTTGGTCAGTATGTCTGCTAGTTGAGCACTGGTGGTGATATGGTGCAAGGAAATGAGACCTTCCTGAAGTTTATCCTGTACAAAGTGACAATCAACTTCGATGTGTTTAGTTCGTTCATGAAAAACTGGATTCCTGGCTATATGAAATGCAGATTGGCTGTCACAGTAGACGTCAATAAGATGAGGGAATGGAACAGTTAACTCTTCAAATAACCTGCTCAGCCAAACTAGTTCTCCTACAACTTTCCTCAATGACCTGTACTCTGCCTCTGCAGATGATAGTGAGACAACTTCTTGCTTTTTGGATTTCCAGCTAACAGGACTGTGACCTAGCAAGACAATATAGCCACTGACATATTTTCTAGAATCTGGACATGATGCCCAATCAGAGTCACAATAGGCTCTTACAGTATAGTCTTCATCTTTGGAAAAGAAAATCCCCAATGTTGGATCAGTTCTCAGATATCTGAGCAAGTGAAAGGCTGCCTTAAGATGAGGTTCTCTGGGGTCTTGCATAAACTGACTTAGGTGTTGAACTCCATAGGCAATGTCTAATCTGTTATTGGTTAGGAAACTGAGTTTTCCCACCAGCTTTCTATAGTAAGTAGGATTTTGTAATGGAGTGCCTTCCTTGGCCTTCAACATGACAGAATGATCTAAGGGAGAAAAGAAGCCACTCTGAGATAAACAATCATATTCCTTTAATAAGTCTAATGCAAATTTTCTTTGTGATATTACTACACCATCTGCCTTATACAGTACTTCCATTCCCAGGAAATAATGCAATTTGCCAAGGTCCTTGATTCTGAAACTGTCATGAAGAAAACTCTTCAGTCTTTCTAATTCTTCTACATCAGTCCCTGTCACAACTATATCATCTACATAAACAGCCACATAAACTGCATTAGTGCCTTCTTTCTTATGGAATAATGAATAGTCAAGCATAGAATGTGTATAACCTCTGGAGCACAATGCCTCACTCAGCTTGGCATACCACTGCCTGCTTGCCTTTTTGAGGCCATATAAGGACTTGTTTAACTTGTAAACCAGTCCTTCCTTAGTGACCTCTAATCCTGGTGGGACCTCCATATGCACTTCCTCATGAAGATCACAATGGAGGAATGCGTTGTTGACATCAAGCTGGGATATGAACCATCCCTTCTTTACTGCAGTTGCAATCAAAGCTCTCACTGTGGTCATTTTTACCACAGGGGAGAATGTCGGTGTAATCAATTCCAGCTTCTTGTGTGTATCCCTTCACAACTAGCCTTGCTCTAAACCTTTCAACACTTCCATCTGCCTTGTGCTTAATCTTATATACCCACTTACACCCTATAGCTTTCTTGCCATGAGGCAAAGATACTAGATCCCATGTGTGATTGCTGTGCAAAGCATCAAATTCTTGAGTCATTGCTTCCTGCCAGGCAGGATTGATGACAACTTCCTCATATGAAATTGGTTACCTGTCATGACAAATGTTTCTCACAAGAGCTTGACTGTCATGGGTTAATGCCTCAGTAGATATAGAATTGTGATTTGAGAATAATGCATTGAGTGAGAAAGAGTTAGCATGGCATATGGGTGCAGTGTCTATAGGTTTGAGATTAGGAATATAATGAATGTAGTCCTTCAAATGTACTGGTGTCTTAGGTTCTCTAAGTGATTTTCTAGGGCCAACATGTGATGTAAGTGGTACAGAACTGTTAGGAACAGAATCATTCTGTGTGTGAAAATACAGGTCCATTGGTGGTGTAGGATTGTTGGTAGTAGAGTTGTTTTGTGTGTGAAAATAGGAGTCCATTGGTGGGGAGCTACTGTGTGTAGGGAGCTGGTCATGTGAAGTAGTGGCAGGAGAAGATTCCAAGGGTCCTGTAGGCTGTGTGACACTTGACCTGTGCTGACTAGTGTGTTGTTTTGGCTCAACTTCTAAATGGTCAATAAAGGGAATGAAATTGAGGACTGATGGGAAGGAAGTGGTGTTATCATGCATAGCAAAAGGGAAAATATATTCATTGAAAGCGACATCTCTGGAGATATGTATCTTTTTGGTGGCTAAATTCAAGACCTTGTATCCTTTTGTGTTAAAGGGGTAACCAACAAAAACATGAGGGGTAGTTCTTGGCTCAAACTTGTCTCTGTGAGGTTTAGGAACTGTAGGATAGCACAAACATCCAAAACTTCTCATTTGTGAGTACTTAGGCTTCCTTTTGTATAGAAGTTCATAAGGGCATCTATTGTTTAGGCTGCTAGAAGGTAGTCTGTTTATAATGTAAGTTGCACAAATAATACACTCGCCCCAGTATCTGGTTGGTAATTTTGACTGGAACAAAAGAGCTCTAGCAGTTTCTAGTAGGTATTTGTGCTTTCTTTCTACTATACCATTTTGCTGGGGTGTGTAGGGACAAGTCCTTTGGTGTACTATGCCCTTGGATTGGAAAAAGAGATTGGCTTTTGTATTGGTGAACTCCAGCCCATTGTCTGATCTAATGATTTTGATTCTAATGTTGAATTGGTTTTCTATTAAGATTACAAAAGCCTTAATAGTTTGAAGGGCATTACTGTTGCATGACAGAAGTTGAGTCCAGGTTGATCTACTGTAGTCATCTACTATGGTAATGAAGTACCTATAGTTGTCGTGTGTGGTAACATGGTAAGGTCCCCACAAGTCAACATATAACAATTCAAACACTTTGGTGGTAATACTGGTCTTTTGAGGAAAGGGAAGTCTTTCTTGTCTGGCCATGGGACAAATGGAGCAAAGGAAGGGCTGTTTGGATGAGAAGCTTGCAGGTATTGAAACAATGTTTTTCATCTTAACAAAAGGCACATGCTCAAGTCTATTATACCACAGGACATTCACATCATTTCTAACAAGTTCAAGAGAGTTCAGAGAAAAAGACTGTCATTTATTGCTTGCAGATGAGTTATTTACAAGTGAAAGAGGAACACACTTATTTGTGAGTGATGGCTTATTTACATTGCTGTGAAGGTGACACTGTGTGTTGCAAGCACAACAACAAGCTGACAAAAAGGGAACTTTGACTGTAGGACCATACTGTTTGTTCTGCAGACATCTTTGACATAGGAAGTATAAGCCATCCATGGCTTTACCAATCACCAGAGGCCTCTTCATTGAAGGGGCCTGCAGCAGACATGAATTGTTAGAGAAGGCAACTAGACGTTCATGTTTTGTTAGAGAATGAACAGAGATTAAATTGTACTTGAAAGAGGGTATAAACAACACTTTTTCCAGGATGATATCAGGTATGAGTGTCACACTACCAATTTGTGTTACCCTTACTTTATATCCATTTGGAAGAATGACAAGGAGAGGATATGGCAAGGTTATAATTTTGGTCAATAAGGATTTGTTGAAGGTCATGTGATTTGAGGCTCCAGAATCCAATATCCATGAGTCAGCTCTATTTTTGAAACAATTACATGACAGTTTACTAAAATCAATTGAGGATGTACATGCAACAATACCTGCAAAGTTGGCAGTTACACAGGCTGAATTCACATTGCTGGTACTTTCTCCTCCATTTCCTATCTGAAAATGTTGTAGTAGGCTCATGATCTGCCCATACTGTTCTTGAATCAGGTTGACATTTTGATTGTCCTTTTGTACATCAAACTCATCATGTGATGGCATATCTAATTGAGGTCCATGTACATTAGCAACTATCCTGTTTGTTCTATTGAAACCACTACACTACTAGGTTTGAAATTCTGATTTGAAGTGTGCTGACTATAGCTATTGTTACTCTTGAAGTTTTGTCCATAACTTTGAGGGTATCCATGCAGTTTGTAGTACTTATCCTTAGTGTGTCCCGACCTCTTACAATACTCACACATTGGTCTTGACTTGTTTGTACCATTGTAGTTATTGCTAAGAGAGTAATTTGTTCTATAATTGTTCTGCTTGAAAGTGTTCGCATTCAGAGAAGTTGATTCTAAGGCAAACTGATTATTAGGTCTAATTTTCCTCTGTTTGTCTTCTTGAACCAACAGTGAAAAAGCTTGTGCCATTGAATATCATCAAGATGCTGCCTCGCACCACAATGTAGACCTCATTAAGTCCCATGAGAAAGTGTATTAATCGCCTATCTTGTTCTGCCTTGTGCATACTCTCTTTTGCTCCACACGTGCAATGACAAGTGCATTGATTCTTAGCACTTAGGTTACTCGGTTCTTCCCATAATTTCTTCATCTTAGTATAGTACCCTGTGATGTCAAGAGATCCTTGGGAAAGATCATTAATATCCTTCTGAATTTGATACAGCTTTGTACCATTGGTCTGATCATATCGATCTTCCAATTCTTTCCACAATTATGTTGCATCATTCACATATTCCACGCTATCTGCATTTTCCTTAGATAATGAATTCAGAATCCACGATGTTACCATATAATCACATCTCTCCCACAATCGAAGTTTTTGAGAATCTGGATCTGGCTTCTTACATTCTCCATTGATAAAACCTACCTTGTTCTTCACAGAAAGTGCACACACCACACTTCTCCTCCATGATCTGTATCCAACACCATTAAAAGGAACTGATACTAACATTGCACCGGGATTGTCTGAGGGGTGCATGTACAAAGGACTACTCAGATCCACACTGGATTGACCATTCCCAGTTGGTAAATCAGCCTCTAAATCATTAGATCGTTCGTTTTCATCTAAAATCGCCATAACTGACTCGATTGAGCTAAGTATTGAAAAACAAAACTATCAATTCTGCAATTGAGATTTGTAGTCGAAGAAAAATAGTGAATCGTTCGAATGAATTCCAAAATGACTCGAATTTAGGTTTGCATGTGACAAAAAAACAAATAGGATCAGTGAATTGATCGATCAAATACAGAATTACACTTACCGGAGAAAAGATTCCCACCGGCTCTGATACCATAACAATTTCGAGTGTTCTGCTGTGAATGAGCTTGAACTAAGCTTCAATGGAGATTCCATAGAATGTTCTCGAAACTCAGAAGCAATGATATTGAGAGGAAAAAGAGAAATATTGAAGCAAGAATCTCAAATTTCATTCTGTAAAATGAGAACTTATATACAAGAAGTTTTAACAAGAAAATAACAACCACTAACTAACCTCCGGCTAGTATAACTAACTGCCAGCTGACAACTAACTGACTTAACACACTAACATCTAATAATTAATAATTTTTGCATCTTAACAGGAACACGGTATGGGTGTACTTTATTTCTGATAGGTTTAGTGTTTCTCGATTCTTTCTTTGATTTTTGCATTTGTGTCTTGGTAATGAGAATTTGATGGATATTTGTTATTTTTTCTATTCTCTTGGATAGGCTCTTGCTGGATTTTATACATGCATGCCATTGTTATTTCTATTTCCACATGTATGTTTGGAAATAGATATGTAGGTGCATGCTTGAGATACATAATTGTTTCTAATTTTAGTTGAGTGAGATGGTACTTTGAACTGGAGCCAAAGTTCCGTTCTTGGAGCAGTGTTATTGGACTTTACCATTTGCTCTCTTGACATGATTATTCTTCTTCTATATTTTTTATGTAGTACTTGTGCTCATTGCAGTTCTCCATTTAGCAAGATTGAAGTGAAATACTTTCGGAGTGTTTTAGAGAAAATATTGAAGAAAAGCAGTTCCGCAACCAGGTTTGTTTTTATTTCCTATCGATTTGTTTTTTTCAGGGTCATTGCATCGATATTTTTGTTTACCTTTTTCGTGGCTTTTACTCTTCCTCTTCCAGTAAGGTTATCCATTTGTTGTATACCTTTTAAGTTTAAAAGATTGAGCTTTCAGGTTGCTTACATTTCCCATGCATGACAACTAATTTGTATAGAGGATTCATGACAATCATGAATTAGCAGGTGCTTCAGCATGTTTATGGAATTCTATTACACTGCCAAAACGTAAGCAAATGTTTCTGAACGCTCAAAATTAATTTAGAAAATAGTTCTTTTGAAAGAAAATGGAAGATATTTCTTTTAGTACTTTTTTTGTTTTGTTCTTTTAGCACAAAACATGCTGTAAACAGAAATTATCTTTTTCCTTATCGCAACAATGATATTTCCTTGGTAGAGACCATTCTCATGGCAATGTAGCATGTATCAACTGGAACACATTTCTCAATCCATAGCCAGTAGAAATAGACAAAGGAGTGTGGAAATGGTAATTCAAGCGTTCATCTAAGGTATTGGTACTTCTTTTAAAAGAAAATCTATATATTAAGCTCATAATATATAGGAGTATAATTTTTCTCGGGGTAGCTTATAGCCTATTGTTCACTTTTAAGACTTTCCTTCAAGACCTCTAACTTTAGACTGTGAACATCGTCAAATCTTAGCCTTCTTGGGTTCAAATTTTCGAGCTAATGTAATTTTTTAAATATATATGCCAACACAATTTAAGTTTTATTTTCATCCTTTTTGATTTACACTGAAGTAGTTATGTCTATATATATCTTGAGACTGAATACAAAAGACACTAAGAAATTCTTGAGACATTGCAAAACAGAATGACTTAATCGTTCAATGGCTTGACTATATCCTTTCGTAGAGTGGAAAAGGTGAATTTACTCTTTTTCATCAAATGAATTGTTCCTAAGGCAAAACCAAGTGAAGTTACTTTCAATATGATGTTTGAAAACATTGATGAGAAGTATATTTTTTGGCATTTGAATGTGTTTGTCAGTTGCCTTTTTTTACTTCATATTTGTTATGAACTTGCTGATGTGCTCAAATATTCCATCCATCATTTTTGTTATTATTTATTCTATTGGATTAGCTTAAGAGATAAGTTTATTTTTATGATACTTCCAGTTTTTTTTTTTGCTTGAAAATGTGACGTTATCTTCTTTGAGAAATTACTTTCACATCACAATAGTGAGCTGTGAGCAGTATCCCTTTATTGGGATGGAGAAGGGAAAAGGCCAGTGCAATACCCTGCTTCCTATTGAGGCTTTGACTGCACAATTACACTCTGTAGTGGAAAGGAGGCAAATATTATTCAAACTTAAACCTTTGTAGTGGAAGGAAAATAGTAACTTTGTACAACTGCTGCTCTGGATAGTTTATCCTTTTGTACGAGTGATGAACTAAAAACATTCTGTTATCTTTCAACTATACACTTTTTTGTGTATAAACTATCATGGCAATGTAGCTATATCTTTTTTTAGTTGAATGTAGTTATGTTAATAAGTGAACTACTAAACTTTTTGGCGTAACTTGGACCAATTATATAGTATTAGTTTTCGATTCAATGTGTTGAACTATTTTAGTGTCTTGCTAGTAAAACTAGAGGAAAAGGTTAGTCTGTATGGACGCTAATAGTGTCCTTGTACCACTCCTGCCAGATGCATATACTATGCAGCAAAGAGGACCATATTTGCAACAGTAAATATATGAATACATATCAGCTCTCTCACACTTCTACCCAGTTTTTCCTCTCTTTCTGCATCCAAAGCAATCCTCGGTCCCCTATTCCAATCGTATTAATATACTAAAAAGAAACAGACGACCAACAATTTAAAATAAGGAAAAAAATTGAATCTAGAGAAAAGAGAATAACTTGTCTTATATGTTATTCTTTGCTTGTGCTAATGTTAACTCCCACACCACCAAAAGATGCGGTGGAGTGGATGGGTTTGTTCTTTCCCTTAATTAGAGGTATCGAGTTCGAGTTCTAGGTATGAAAAAATTCTTGGTAGGGAGCTCAAGCCCTGTATATGGAAAAATACTTGGTAGGGAGCGCTTCCTCCCGAATGGGGCCCTACGCAGCGCGAATCTGAATATAGTCAGGCTCCAATGCGGGTACCGGATGGGGAACTAAAAAAATTGTTAACTCCCACAAATTCTCCGGTTTGTTCAATCAAGACAATGAAACAGAACGAGTGAAATACCTATACCGAAGTACTTTCAAGTTGTGAAAATTTCCATATATTTATCAAAATGATCCTGAAATAGTTTAGAAGCCAAGAATATTAGTAAAAGTTTTGAAATGTTTGTTACATTTACATAAATTTTAAAAGGCTTGTTTTGAAAAACGTAAAGACTTCATTGTACCATGATTAATTTATTTTAAATGCATCATAATAACTTAATAAGTACATTAAGAGTTTCAAAGCAAAGCACTAAAATTCCAAGGCAATTATTTTAATTTATTTTTATGGATATTAACATTTACTGAACGATCAGTTTATATTATGATACAAAATTATTATAGAAGTAATGTTTAAATGAATGGCAAAATGGTCATTCAGCATTTGATGGATATTTTAGTAATTCAACCTTGAGCTTCATACTTATAATATAGTATGATGATATAATGATGATGATTATATCTTAAGTTTTAGACAAGTTATACATGAAAATTTATCTTGTATTAGTAACACTAACCTTAGGGTATGCGCTTTGCTCGTATATTTATATTAATGAATATTAATTTAAAATTTTACAACAATATTTTTGAATAATGTATTTGAGTTATAAAATAAAATTATATTATAAAATATAATTTTTAAAAATGATAGAATATTGTTCCCAATTAGCTAGATTGTTTGATGTGAACTTTATTTTTGAAGGGTAAAAATGTCGATCAATACTTTTCGAAGGGCGTCCTTTTAGAGTGCGTACTTTGCATGTATACCCATACTAGTTTATGGGCACGCGCTTTGCGCGTGTATCCCATATAATTTAGTCTTCATTTTTTTTTTAAAATCGCATATATTTGTAGACAATGTGTTTGAATTATAAAATAAACGTTTAAAAAAAGTATCTTATTTTGATTCAAACAATGTGTTTGAATCAAATAAACGTTTATTTGATTGCCTACTTTCTTTTGTGATTAGCAAGCACAATATACTAAACATAAAAATATTTACTAAATAGTAAGGTTGGAATAATAGTTCATTAATATCCTCTAGACTCATATTTGTTGAATTTGACGTGACGTTGTTAAGATAATTGAATTTGGCATATATATAATGTTGGTAAGGTAACATGTGTAGATACGAATATAGATATATATAGATATCTTGTTATAATTTTAAAATACCATTCTATTCGAGCAAGATAACTTGTATCTAAATTTTTTATAATTTTACATATAACAATAATAATTTATTAATATTTAAAAGGAACAAGAAATCATAATATTAACATTTATATGTATTTTATCTACCACACACTGTCCTCCAATAAAAGAACGTTTGTTTAATTGAACAATACCTAACAAAATTTTCAACAAAATGGAATAAAATATGCCCCTACGAGAAGAAAGAATAGTGGGATGCTCACGCTCTCATTGGACGTGACAATAGATATATGAATTATGATAAATTTTTTGGAAATTCACATATATAAGTCTAGTGTATAAAGTATTCCTCAATGGATACATATATCCTGCAATGTAGTTGCTTCGTTTTCTTATCTCTTCGATGCCAGTATGTGCCTTATAAATAAAGTAATTCAATAAATCACACTAATATTTTAATTATTTTATTTATAAAATTGTCATATTAAATTAACCTACTTAATTCTCAAATTATCATAACAGAAAATAAAAAATTCTGAAAAGGAAAATGAAAAGAAAATTTAAATAGGAAATGAAAGTTGAAGGGAGAAAAACTCTACTGCGTAATATTTCATTTATGGCACAAGAGTCTATATGATTTTCGGAAAAAATATAAAATAAATACTATTTCATACTAAATATCAGTAGACGATGTTGCTTAATCAAAAATTACATAAATAATACTAATATACAATTTCCTAAACACTCATAGAAGAGACAATGAACTTACACGTTAAACTTGCAAATTTACTTCTTTCCTCGGTTATTTCTTCTTTTAAAAGTCGATTTATATAAGTTGCTGATTGGTTTCTTAGTCGATGAAAACAGCATGATGACAAAGTAAACCAAAGGTCCTTAGCTAAGAGGTAAAAATGCTTACATTGAGATCATCTCACGGTAGCAATGCATCTAAAATTTAACATCTAATAAGAGGTTATAATAGTCAATTAACTTTTGAAGGATTTTTCTGTAATTCAATCTCTATATTGGGGCTTCATACTTATAAAATAGTATGATTTGACATTCAATTCTTATGTGTCATTTTGAAAGTATTTCTTTAATTTGATGTTGAGCTATCAAGTATCATAATTATGTATATTGGTAATATTATATCGAATTATAGTAGAGTATTTAATAAAATGAGTATTTAACATTTTAGTACACAAGATTTATAAAAGGGGTATTAGATTAAAGGGTAATGGACATACCATTATATACTCCGAAAAATCAAACATATTTTTTTTCACAAAAAAGTATTTTTCTTTTTCATTTTTATTAAGATAGAATTAATTGCTAATAATTCTATGACAAGGAGTAATTTAAACCTACAACAAATAATAACTATACTTTTTACTCATTCTCGAGAAAAAGTCTTATGTAGTGATAAAAATAATTAGACGTCTAATATCAAACAAATGGATAATTTTGTTATCTATTATATCCTTGTTTGGATTAGAAATTGACAAATTAATTACCTATTTTTTTGTCTTAGTTTAATAAAAACTTTCAATATAAAAAATACGACTTTGAAAGTACATGTCTAGTTTGTGCATATTTAAATTTTATCGGATGCAAAATATAGTACCATATTTATAAGTAGAAATACATTGATTTTGAATTCCTAAATATTAAGATTTTCTATCTAGTTCAAATAAGGAAAAAATTATTAACAAAAAATTTCGTTGAAATCAAAGTCCTAAATATTAGAAAAATAATTAAATAATTATTCTTAAATATTAGATAATTAATGATATTTCGATAAGTCCCTTCCTGCGTTGTGAACTCTATTTTTAAAGTATAAAAAAGGCGAACGACATTTCTCTAAGATATATAAATATATATATAAATTAGACAAAATTAATATTCAACTCAAAAGATTGTATCATAAGGTAGAGTTAAAATTGGTAAAATAAAATACTTTTAGACAAAAAAATGAAAAAATATAATTAGACAAAATTTAGTTGTTGACCGATCCGCCATCGTTGCTGCGCATGAACGTGGCAAAATGCTATTTGTTCTATCCATCTTCTTCTTCTTCAGAACAGTTGTGCCACTCCTAAACCCTAATTCTTCCTCTCCGCAGAAAAATCCCAGTTTTGAAAGATGGATAACAAAGAAGCTTCAGAAGCCATTAATGCACTCTCCTCACCGCCTTCTTCAGCTGACACTCCTATTTCCACATCTCAGTAAGTCTCTCTCTCTCTTTATACTTATCACCAGCTAAATAAAGATCAGATAAAAGCCTAATTATATATCGTTGGCGCAGGAATATGGATAATCAAGAGACTTCAGAAGCCATTGATGCACTCTCATTGGCAGCTTCCTCATCCAACCCTTCCATTTCAACTTCGCAGTAAGTCTCTCTCTCAACATGCTCTCAGGGATGATGTAGTTTCTATTTGGAGTACTTTTGTCTAATTTAATTTCCGATGAGCATGTTAAATCTGTTAAAACATGTATTTATTTTTTGAGATGGTAACTCATGACGAATTATTGAGTATTGGAATGAATGACACCGAATAAACAGACATGGAAGATTCATATAGCTGCCCCAATTTACTCAATTAGTTTGGGATAGGGGATTAGTTGATTAATATAGCGAGATCTCTGAATTTTTTTTTTTTTTTTCATTTATGAAAGCATTTTTTTTTTTTGTTTTGTTCGAATGTAAGATTAAATTTGTTGCATATTCTGATTTTAGGATGAGCTTGGAGGAGAAGTTCAAGATTGTTAGGAGTATTGGCGAGGAATGCATACAGGAGGATGAGTTGATGAATCTTTTGGCAAAGAAGCCACAACCGGTTTGCTATGATGGTTTTGAGCCTTCTGGTCGAATGCACATTGCTCAGGTACATAAACCTGAATTCCACCCACATTCTAACTTACAGGAACGAACATGATAAAAATTTGCCACTTGCCAAGTGTCTGGTTTGCACAATGGATGTGCTTATTTGCCTTTGAATTCTAATTGAACATGATTGTTTTTCCATTTTGTCGTGATTGGTAATGTNCTGACCAGTTGTAATGTAGACCATTAGGGAAAACAACGGAGTTGGATCTTTTTCTGGTTAAGAAAAAGTGAAAAGAAGGGGAATAATTTCCCC